AAAGAAAGAAAGAAAGAAAGAAAGAAAGAAAGAAAGAAAGAAAGAAAGAAAGAAAGAAAGAAAGAAAGAAAGACAATGAATATAGATAGATATAGATATAACACTGCCAAAATTTCAGAATGTTGTTAACATATATGAGTGCCAAAAATATGCCTGTCTTCCAAAATGTAACTGAAAACAAAGAATAGATCAGCGTGGAACTTTCTGAGAATAGAACAAGTACATAATTTAGTGGGATTTCAGCAGACAAACTGTATATTAGCTATTCAATTCCTGCCATGAAAATAGACATCAATATCTTACCTTATGAATAGGACTGTGTGAATCATCTAAAAATTCATTATAAATTAATTATTTATTGTTAAAACCATTAATTATTCCTGGTATCCTAAATCTATCCACTGCAGGATAAAGGTCTCTTAGTTATAAGTGTTGAACCATAATCTACAAGGCTGGTCTGGATTGATAGATAAATGAATGAGCACACACACACATACACCCACGCATACACCCACATCACAATCTCCATTCTCACTTTAATGCTTATGTGGCCCATTCCCATTTATATGGCATTAACTTTAGTGAACTGAATAGAGCTTCTTGGACATGTATAAAATTTGAGTGTTACTAATGCAAATTACTATTTCTCCTTTGTTTCCCCCCTCCCCCCCCAATTGTAGACTGCAACCCATTTGCCCTATTGAAGGTCGATTTGGACTCCATGGGCAAGATGAAATCCCACTCAGAGCTCTACAGTTTAAGCGTGGATTGTTGCATGAATTCCGAAAGGGTAATAATGCCAGCAAAGAGCAAATTCGACTTCACAGCTTGGTCCAACAAATCCCCAAGGCCATAATAATTGGAGTGAGGAAAGGGGGAACGCGGGCACTACTAGAAATGCTCAATCTTCATCCAGCAGTGGTCAAAGCCTCTCAAGAAATACACTTCTTTGACAATGATGAGAACTATGCCAAGGGCATTGAGTGGTATAGGAAAAAAATGCCATTTTCATATCCTCATCAAATAACCATTGAGAAAAGCCCTGCATACTTTATCACAGAGGAGGTCCCTGAAAGGATTTATAAAATGAACTCATCCATCAAATTACTGATCATTGTCAGGGAGCCCACAACAAGAGCTATTTCTGATTACACTCAGGTGCTGGAGGGAAAGGAAAGGAAGAATAAAACCTACTACAAATTTGAAAAGTTGGCCATTGATCCTAACACCTGTGAGGTGAACACTAAATACAAGGCAGTCAGAACCAGCATCTACACCAAACACCTGGAGAGATGGTTAAAATACTTTCCCATAGAGCAGTTTCATATTGTGGATGGGGATCGTCTCATTACAGAACCGCTGCCAGAACTCCAGCTGGTAGAAAAGTTCTTAAATCTTCCTCCAAGGATAAGTCAATATAATTTGTATTTCAATGCCACCAGAGGGTTTTACTGCTTGCGATTTAACATTGTCTTTAACAAGTGCCTGGCGGGAAGCAAAGGACGCATTCATCCGGAGGTAGATGCCTCTGTCATTACCAAATTGCGCAAATTCTTTCATCCTTTCAATCAGAAATTTTACCAGATCACAGGAAGGACATTTAACTGGCCCTAAGATAAACTTCCTACAACACTGTGTGTTGCACCTGGAGATATGCAACTATATCTCTATTAGAGTATATAAAAAATATGCACTTTTCATACTCTCAGTTATCAAAGTAATCTTTTTTTTTCATGCGTACTTGTACATATGCAGTGTGTGACCAAATATAAGATGGGATCAATTTTTCTACAGAACAGTGCATAACGTGAAATTTATTCTCTGCATAATTGCATCATTTTATGCTGTACAATTAAATGAGAAAATGTCATTTAAAGAAATTAACTCAGCTACTCGGTTCAAAGGGTCATCACTATTATTTGCTCCATAAAATTTAATATTAAAGGTATCTGGAGAAAGGCAGAATATTGCTTTAAAATTCATTGCAATTCTAATTCACTGCAATTAGAATTCATTTCTGAAAAATCTGCAATGTAATATTGTATTTCTAAATATTGTTTAGAAATATTATATTTCTATTATAACATATTTCTAAAAGAATATTGGCCCTTTAAAGAGAATACATTTATGCTGCAGGCTTATAATGGCTTATCACTGCTCCCTAGGAAACCTCTATTTTGGTAACAAGAAGGGGCTAATAACATTTTTATGAATAATTCTCACTGCTTCCATGAATTGGGGTGGGGCAATTATGCCAATTAAATGGATAAAAAGCCAATATAAGTTTGCTGTGTGATTATACCCTATATAATGCTAAGTTCTTTTGAAAAATCTTTTCCTAGTGTTGAAAAGAAACTTTCTCATCCAATCAACATAGTTTCAAATTTCCTGTGGTGAGTTTGCACTATTGTTTTTAATTGTATGGACCATCTTGGCACTTAGAGCATGTCAATCATGTGTCAAAACGGAAGTCTTTTTTCTCCCTTCTATGCTTGTATGTTGACAAAAATTTGATGTACATATTGTATATTGTTTGTAAATACTGGTTTCACACTAAGTAATTCTATTTTGTAAACTAAATATGGCTATTTAATTTATTGTGAAAATTAAATTTATTGTGGTATTTAAAATGGAATGGATTAAAATTGCTATATGTGCAATTTGCTTTTTGTTTTCCTTCAGTGAATGTTTGATGATCCTATGATGTCTCATTATCTCAAATAGCAAGCTTTTCATTGGAAACAATTCACAAGTTCAGCTGGGAGTCAAGGTCTGAGTAACTTGATTGAGTAATATTCAAAGATATGCAAATCCACCATTAAGTTGGTAATCCATAACGACTGCATTGTTGTCAAGTGTATTTTTAGCTGTGTCTGTATAAAGAAGACTGTGTACTATGCAAAAACATCAAGCAAGTATCATTAGTTCTGCAACTGTAAGAGCATTACAAATGGAAGGCTACCAAAAATGTTTTTAAAATGTTATTATTCCGATAATAAGATGATGGTGTTTATATGGACCTTTTCTGCTTCTGTGTATCTTATCCATAGGTGCAAACGGAGGTTTAAGGTTAAGGCAATTTATTATAACAATTTAAAAAACTGGATTTTCCTGAGAGCACTGCCTAGGACAGGGGTGTCCAACCTTGGCAACTTTAAGACTTGTGGACTTCACCTCTTTGCTGGTTGAGGAATTCTGGGAGTTGAAGTCCACAAGTCTTAAAGTTGCCAAGGTTGGACACCCCTGGCCTAGGATGAATTGGGAAACTCATTGTACTTACTAAAGCCTGGGGTTTCAGCATCAAATCACCTTCATTCCAATTCTTCATTCCAATTCTTTTTCATTGATTTCACCCAGAAATCTAGTTAAAATAGCCTTACAATGAAGTAAAGATGTGCGAAATCACTAGGACATAGGGTCTGTGATTTTTTAAAAGGCTCATTTTGGTTTTTTTGTTTCTATGGGAATGAAGAAAGAGAAGAATGTGATGCACTTAAAGGAATGGAAATGTCACCGGGTAATGGTTGCAAGGAAATAGGAACCCCATTTGGAAAAGAACCCAATCTTTTTCTTAAGCTGCGTAAAACACACAGAAGTTCCAAAAGTAATTTGTAACTACTGCATAGAAGAGGAAAATAACATTTCAAGAATATGTGAACTTTTAGGTTTTCTTTAGATTATCATCACTGTGTTCATAACATTAAAAAAGAGCAAAGAATGTAAAATCAAATCAAGTTTACTTTAACCGATTTGTAAAGTGTACGCTATTTCAGAGAAAGAAATAGATTTTTTACTTGTAAATATGTAACTGATCTCTAGGTAGTGAGCAACTAATGGAAGTTATTATTTTAACGAAAATTAGATGTAAAGTATATGTTGAATACATTTTAATTCCAATTAATCAACTTGGTTAATGAACTGAATAATCATCTCAGTTAATTCACAGAGAATCACAGGCAACTAAGGATTGTTAAGAGGGAACTGCCAGAGGAGCTGATGCGATTCCAGTCTTCAAGAGAGAAAAAAAAGTAGATCCAGGAAACCAAAGACAAATCAGCTTAATATCAATATCTTGGAAAATCCTGGAAAAGAAAATCAAGCAGCAGATTTGTGAGCATCTAGAAATGACCTGAAGCCAGTATGGATGTGTTAAAAACAGACCGCATCAGGCAAACCTTATTGCCTTCTTTGATAAATTAGTGCAGGGGTCCCCAACCACCGGTCCACGGACCGGTACCGGTCCGTGGAACAAGTCCTACCGGGCCGCTGGCTTGCTGGGCGCCGCCATCTTGTTTTGATGAAAAAGTGCTTCTGGTGAGCTTTTCCGGGTATCAAAACAAGATGGCGGCGCCCAGCTGATGTCGGTACCGGGCCGCGCCATAAAAAAGGTTGGGGATACTGGGCCGCGGCGTAAAAAAGGTTGGGGATCACTGAATTAGTGGATCAGAGAAATGATGTGAATATAGTTTACTTGGACTTCAGCACAGCATTTGATAAAGTAGTAGACTATAGCCTACTCCCTGGTATGTTGGAAAGTACCACCACCAGACTGATACTTGGTTGACCAACTACATTCAGTGTGTAGTCCTTAATGGAATTACATTAAATTGGAAGAAAGCATGCAGTGGGGTAGCTCAAGTTTCTAAGCCTGGGTGCTCTTCAAAATCTTCATAAATGATTTAGATGAGGTGATAGAAGGGGTGCTCATCAGATTTGCAGACAACACCAAACAGAGGGGAATTGCCAATACTTTGGAAGATTAGACTCATGATTCAAAAGGATCTTGGCAGATTTGAGCATTGGGCCCTGTTCAATAAGTTCACTGATGAGAAAAGCAAGGTCTTGGGAAGGAAAAACCAAAAGGTACCGGATAGGTTGTATCTGGCCCAAAGCAATATCTCTGAGAGGGATCTACATGTTCTAATGGACCACCACTCAAGTATAAGCCAGCCATGTGCTGTAGCTGCAAAAAAAAAAAAAAAGCCAATGCAGTCCTAGGCTACATCAACAGATGGGTAGCATCAAGATCACAAGAGACAGACAGTACTGCTCTATACTACACAAGTGAGGTGACACTTGGAATATTGCGTCCAATTCTGTTTGCTATGATACAGAAAAGAAAAGAAAAAAACACTGTGAGACAGTGCAGAGAAGAACAAAAAATGTGATAAGGAGTCCAGAAGCTAAAGCATATGATGAATGGTTAAGGGAACTAGACATAACTAATGAAGAGAAGAATTAAGAGTGACATGATAGCTGTCTTTCAATACTTGAGAGGCTATCATAGGGAAGAGGAGGATTGATTTGTTCTGGGGCAGGACAAGAAGTAATGGGTGGAAGCTTATTAAAGAGAGATCCAATCTGGAACTAAAGAGGAATTTCCTGACAGTACGAACAATTAACCAATGGAACAGCTTGCCTCCATCGCTGGAAGTGGGTGTTCCATTGCTGGAGGTCATCAAGAAAAGATTGGAGAGCCATTTGTCCAGGATGCAATAAGGTCTTCAGCCTTGGGGGCTGGACTACATGATCTCCAAGGTCCCTTTCACCCCTATGATTCTATGATTTAAGTTGTTTGCTGTTTTCTCTAACTATGTTTCAATTTTTTTATAATTTCATATGGTTTCAGTAGGTTTTTAGACTTAATATGTGTTTATGTCTATGAAAAAGACTAAAGGTAATCTTTGGTTAACATCTGCTTCATTCAGCAACCATTCAAATTTATGACAGCACTGAAAATGTAGATTTATGACCATTTCTTGATCTTATGGCCATTGTAGCACCCCCATAGTCATGTAATCACAATTTGGATACTTTCAACTGGTGCACATCTAGGAGGATCCCATGATCACCATTTGAGAACTTCACAGCTGGCTTCTCACAAGAAAAATCAATGGGGAAGCCAGCAAAAATTACAAGTCATGGTTAAAGTGACATTGCACTTAATAACCAGGGTGGTTCAACTTAATGATTAACTGACATTATCAGAGAGAGGTAGTCATGTGATGTGTCACTTAATGACTTAATGACAGAGTTGACTGTCCCAATTGCACTTGTTAAGTAAAGACTGTATTTTGAAGAAAAAAAATAAGGAAAAAAAGAAATGAGTAGAAAATAGTTTTATGCATATAAAGAGATATATTTCAGTAGATACTCAGTTTCTTTTAGTGACCCAGATTATTGGGGGCAATTTGCTGACTCTGTAAACTGCTCAGAAAGGGCAATAAAGCACTGTGAAGCAGTATATGTCTTGTGCTATTGCTATTTCTACTTCCTACCAATAATGAACAATCAGCAGGCATGGTATTCAGCAGGTTCTGACCAGTTCTGGAGAACCAATAGTGGAAATTTTGAGTAGTTCGGAGAACCGGCAAATACCACCTCTGACTAGCCCCGCCCCCATCTATTCTCTGCCTCCTGAGTCCCAGCTGATCGGCTGGGTCTTCTTTTGTTGCCCTGCACAGGAGAACAGAGCTGGAAAGCAGGTTAGTGGGGTGGGGAGGGAATGGGGTTTTGCAGTATCCTTCCCCTGCCACGCCCCCCAAGCCACGCCCACAAAACCAGTAGTAAAAATTTTTGAATCCCACCACTGACAATCAGCAATTGTTCCCTCCCCCAAAAGATAAATAAAATATAGTAAAAGAAAAGAAAGAAAACAGATTGGTGTTTCTTGTTGTACATAGTACATTTACCAACCCTAAATAAAAATAGATCGAGAAATCTATTACAGGTGATCCACAACTTACAACAGTTCATTTAGTGATAATTCAAAGTTACAACGGCACTGGAAAAAAGTGACTTATGACCGCTTTTCACACTTACAACTGTTTCAGCATCTCCATGGTGACATGATCAAATTTGCAGCTGTTTAGCAACTGAATCATATTTATTACATTTGCAGTGTCCTGGGGGTCATGTGATCACCTTTTGCAACCTTCTGACCAGCAAAGTCAATGGGGAAGCCAGAGTCACTTAACAACTGTGTTACTATCTTAACAACTGCAGTGATTCACTTAACAACTGTGCCAAGAAAGGTCATAAAATGGGTCAAAACTCACTTAACAAATGTCTCCCTTAGCAATGGAAATTTTCAGCTCAATTGTGGTCGTAAGCCAAGGACTACCCCTATATCAATTATATTACATTAATTATATTGCATTATATTACATTATATTGTATTATAATTCACACATACAAACAAATCCAATTAAAAGTTGCTATGTCAATTAAAATAGAACAATGTATCTAAACAGCTGATTCTTTAGAAAGTACAGGTTATCCTTTCTTAATGACCAGATGCAATTATTACTTTTCTTTTCTTTTTTGCCATAACCTCACCTTTTTGGTCAGTTTCCAGCAAAAAAAAAAAAAGAACCACACCCATAGGAATGTGTTCACTTGCTTAATGACCCCCATGGTCCACACTCACCTTATGACCATGTCATTCACTTAACAACCACCATAAAAAAGTTCGTAAAATCAGGATGCCTCAATTTGCAACTATCATATCTTAATGAAAAGTGTGGGCTGCCATATGATCAAGGACTGGCTGCATACAAATGATTCTATAATACTCAGAAGGAGGGTTGCATGGATTCATCTAATATATGAATATATTTG